AAAACTCTCGTAGGATCAGGAAAACCTGACAATCTATGAGAATAACCAATCGCAGACACGTATGTATTTACTGTGGATGGCGCATACTTGAGGTCAAACAAGTACGCGATAAATAATGTGATGACTGAAGGTGATATAGGCAAAGCAACTAAGCCGTTATTAAAAAATTTTATATGGAATTGCATGAAAAGTGTCCAAGCCTGTTTATATGTTGGTATGGACGACGGTTGAAGACTGGACTGAGCCAAATCAGAAACTATATTGGCCAATTTCCAGGCAGCAGGTGAGAGGGAATGGGCGTTGGAAAACGATGCGTATGCGCCGGTGCCAATTGTAGAAATTTTTGGACCTGAAATCGAGATAAACTGTCAGCCAGGACATTGCGACTACCGGCGATATGTTTTGCTTTAAATAAAATATTGTTTTGCAGACAAACGAGCACCATTGTGCGAACAAAGGTCATAAGGTCAGAATCTTTTGATGTTTGCTTATTGATAACAGAAACCAGAGATTCATTATCCGTAAAAAAGAGAACACATTGATTTCTCATTCTATGACCCCACAAACATAAGCTGAGTACGATGGGATAAAATTCTAGCACGGCAATACTATATTTCAACCAATTTTCCGGCCATTTCCCATAGCACCATTCACGTCCGAATAAGGCGCCAAAACCAATGGCACCAGATGCATCCGTATATAAATTAAGTTTATGGTTGTTACTCCAGGTATCATCCAAGAATAAAGATCTTCCGTTAAAAGAAGATAAAAAAGTCTGCCAAATGCGAAGATCGCCTTTTACATTACGATTTAGCCGGATGAAAAAATGCGGCTGTGAAATTCCGCGCGTTAAATCGATTAATCGTCTTAAAAAGGCGCGACCTGGAGTAACAACCGAACATGCAAAATTAAGTAAGCCAATTAAAGACTGAAGTTCTTTTAGAGTAACCTTTTTACGAGTCAAAAAGCTGGCAATGCATTGGACGCACTTTTCAATTTTGTCTTTAGGCAAGCGAGCTTCCCATTTAAGTGAATCCAACTCAATACCAGCGAATGTGAGAGTGGTCGATGGGCCAAATGTTTTGTCTGGTGCAATGGGAATGCCCAGAAAATCGCAGAGAATAATAAATAAATCTAAATGTGCTTTACATACAAAATAAGTAGATGATATAATCAGAAAATCATCGAGTAAATGAAGTAGTTTGTCGATAAGCAGCTTTTCCCGAGCAATCCATTCAACCGCCGTACTGAAGGTTTCAAAAGTGCGACATGAGCTCGAGCAGCCCATGGGCATAGCACGGTCGTAGTAATAAAATTCGCGCCATTTTATGCCTAAAAGATGGTAATCTGCCGGATTGATAGGTATAATTCGAAACGCATTTTTGATGTCAGTTTTGGCCAAAAAACAACCCGGACCAGCTTGTTTTATAAGTCGAATGGCATCGTCAACAGTGGCATACCGAACCGACGTTTCAATGTCCGGTATACCATCATTGACTGATGTACCGTTCGGAGGACAAATGATGAATCATGCGAAAATCGCCTGGTTGTTTTTTAGGAACCAGGCCTAATGGTGACACACGAAAATACTTAAGTGGCGGCGAAATAAAGGGACCAGCAAGCCGACCTGCCTCTAATTCCTTGTTTAATTTTGAATCAACTGCCTTAGGATTGTCCAAAGCCGATCGCAAATTGCGGGCTTCAAATGATCGTTCAGCCCCTTTAAAATGAATACGGAAACCATATGAAAAACCAAACATTAAATTATCAACAAGATGCGGCTCATAGCCATCTAATAAAATTTTTAGATTAGACACTTTTACCGGTGTTGGCAACGGAGGGCGAAACAGGCTTGGGCGATCGTTCATTTGGAGATTCTCTGGCTGAACTGCGAAAATTACAGTTAACGGAACGATGTGCCCCGTTACACTTAAAACAAACGTGCTTGAAATTGCATCCCGAGCAGTAGGCTCCGCGGTGAAATTTATAGCAAAAACCCCTCGGTACAGACAAAATCGGAGGTTTTCGCGAAGCGTTTTGCGCGGTTGGCACATTACTTAATCTACGCGGCGAAGAATTTTGCGAACGTAACCACAATTCCCAATGAACGGTCGCCCATGGAACCTGTGAGGCCTGCGTTTGGCGCAAAAAACGAAAATTTTCGTCATAATAAAACCAATTATGGTCGCGCGCGGCCAAATCTTGGACTAGTTGACAATACTTCATGAGCGCGGGGGTCTCATGTGTGTATCGTTGGGTGTAAATAGATACAAAAATGTGAAAAGCGCGAAGCCAATCATTGATACTTTTTATTTGTTTGCCAGATTTTGCAGTGGGTTATAAAACAAGCGAGGCAGGCCGGCCAGCGTCCGAAGGCCGCACGTTGATCTCGTAACGTGCGGTTGGGTCAGGATTGCTCAGTAAAACCCCAAAATCAACAAACTCTTCCCTCCATATTTTTTCCTTAATTTTGTCAGGAACTCGCGCATCGAGAGGCAGGCTAGCGGAATTAAAGGGCTGATTGGGGAGCAATTGTTCCGGTATAGTGAAAGGACGTGCCTGACCTGATATGTTGGAGTGGGCTTCGCCAAGTGCGCCCTGAACCAAAGCTGTTGCATGGGCAGAAGATGGAGACTCTACCGTAGGATGCGTCGAAGACGATGGCGGGGAAATTCCTGGAAGAGCAGTCGAAGGGGACGGTAGGAGCGCTGAAAGCTGTTGTGTAACTGCGGCCGTTACCGACGAAACCAATGTTGTGACCAGATCATCCGGCAGCGGCGATGGGATCGCTGTTGGTGCAGGCGTTGGCACGACAGGCGCTGCGGAGGTTGGATGTCCAACAACACTGACTGGCCCACTAGCCTCACCACGAGTAGCCCGTGAACGTAAACCGCGGCGAGGTGCAGCTGCTTGACGCTGTTGGTTTGCCCGAGAAGCAGTTGGAGTTGAAGCAACCCGTTTTGGTCGGCGGATAGAAGGTATTCTAGAAAACAAAACTTGAAAAGGCAGTATTATCCTCAACAAACGTTATCAATATTGCAAAGAGTGTACTGCACATAACGTTTTGATATTAAAAGGATAAAAACGCACACGCGCGAAAACGCATATATAGGTTACAAACAGATATAAACTCATAAATCTACGAGAATGAAGTATTCCTTATAGTAACGTCGGCAGTATGAGCATGGCAGATCGTAACTGATCGCCGCACCACTCATACATTATCACCAACAAAAAAGTTACTGGTTGAATGCGAAAATATTTAAATACACAAACCACAGTAGTGGTAAAAACCTAAGAAACCCTGGCGTAAGATAAAATACGCTGGGGAAAACAATCCTGTAACATCGTCTAATCTTATAAAGAAACCTAGTATAATCCTAGTATAATCCTAGTATAATGTAACCTATTACTGCCAAGAAGGAGAAATTCACACGTAAAGAAAATTCTTCATAATTATATATATTATGTATGATTGTCAAAACTACAACATGCGGAGAGATTTAAGAATGGCGCCCCTATAACTTCTATACAAGGCGTATTGACCGATTTTGTTAAAATGAACTCCATCTCGAAGAAACGGTGTTACCGATGGCCGCACAAAACCCCGATGTAGCCAAGTAAAAACGTTCGGCATATGTTCTAACACAACGTTTAAATATTGATTGACAATAACTCGTTTTGCGTTAAAAACTGGATTACGATTGCGCTGAGTTAACAAGCAAACACACACAACTTTGACGTGATACGTTTGCCGTAACAGAGAAACCAATTCCTCAATTTCAGAACCCACCACCTCGGGTGGCAAAAGGGGCAAATCATTTGTGCCAATCTCCAGGATGACGATATCTGGGGATAGGCGTGCTACTACCCCAAGATCATGATTCCGCACTTTTCTGACTGTGCGACCACCAATACCATGCATGTAAACTTGAGCTGTCCCGTTAAGTTTAAATGTTGGGACATTCGTGCGTCGTGCTGAACATGCAGATCCGACCTAAGTCGACGTACAAATGAATGACCCAAAACTAAAACTTTGGGGGGCGCCATGTATAGAATATAAAGTAGATAACTTAGATAATTAATAGTATAGGAAGTGGTCTTACCTAGTACACTTGGTCAACTTTGAATGATGTCTTTCTCAGCAGTTGTTGTCGATACTGACGATTGGCAGTGTAGATGTCCATTATATAAGGTTTGCACCACTCCTCTCACCCACATTGCGTGACAATATGCATGCTCTATTTTAGATATGGCGGCGCCAAGCTTATAGTATTAGTAAATTCCCTTAACGGCTTAACACCTTCCTAATAATTCTAGTTTCCTGGTTATTAAACTACTTTAGATAAAGTAGATTTTACTTTGATAAATCACATTACATAAATTCCTTATTTTCTTCGCAAATATTCAGTTTTGTTCTAATGCACCCACTTCAACTGACAATTAATTACTGCATCATGTAGTGTATCAGGCCTGGTGTCATATAACATGTTGTAATCATTTGTAGGACCAAGCAACTGGTGAACAAAGTGGTCATGAGAATTCTGAATTGATCGCATGAACACAATTGCCAAACTCGGATGGTAAGTTGAAGCTGTGAAGTGGTTTTTGTTGTCTGAAGTGTTTTACACACTCAATAGAACAGTTATAAAAATTTTATAATCTGGAATTGTTAGAATGTTTCAAGGAATTAAAACTCACACACAAAAAATTTATGCGACATTGTATTTTTTGTGTAATAACCCATTAAGCGCCAGCGCTCTCCCCTTGACGAGTAAAATCGTCTGGCGTTTGACAGAGTAAAATGCTAAAGTAGGGTCCATCAGGGTGCATCGCCACTCAATGGGTTAAAAAAGTCTTACTGTGGCTTATACATTGAACACAAAATATATGTGACAAGAGTGTTGTTGTATTTGCTAATTTAATTATTCATGAATTTTGAATAATAAAACAGAACACAACAAATACAACTGAATTACTCTGTTCTTCTCATATTTAAGGTTATATCAACTGTCAAGAATTTTTATGTGAGATCATTCATGTTGATCAATTATCTTCTGTTTCATGGCAAATCCCCCAATTCCCAGCGATGATCTTCGATTTTGCCTTTGTCCGATTCAAGAAAGGTAGAGAGGTACTTAAAGGCGTATTCCTAAAAGACGAGTTGGCGAACATTCAACCAGGAATTTTCACTGGTACTTCTCACTGTGAAATAGTTGTTAATGGCGAGAAGTATACAGTGTTGTGGAAGCTAGTTCCAGAGAAAGCCACCTCTAGAAGATCTGTGAGCAGTGGAATTAAGTGACCCTTCAGTGTCCAACACTCTACCTGATGACTACAGGTTGGAAGATAGTGAAGATTTGGTGCAGCCAATTGAGGACATAGATCATTGTTTGCCATTTAAGGTTCTGGGAACTTGTCATATGGTAGATAGATAAAACGTCCTTGAGAGAGCCTTCACCTACCTCGAAGAACATAACAGACATGTATTTGCCAAGATTGAAGCTGAGCCAGACAACCCTTACGACAAGCATGCTATTGCAGTTTATGTTATGTCTTCATCAGATTACGAAAAAGTAGGCTGCATAGCAAAAGAACTCACACAATATGTTCACCCAGTCTTGTTCGACAAATCACTTGATGTATCGGTGAAAAAGATTCGTTTTTGTACCACATATTGCATGGTGGGATACTACTTGACAATTAACATCAGCAAGAAAGGTTTATGGGATAAACAAGTCATCAATGCCAGCAAAAGAGTCAATTAGACCCTGTTCACAAAAGGCCAGACAAATGCTGTACGGGACTAATTTGGGACCTAATTATTTTGGTTCATGAATCAGTGTGTTTAGCAGCGCTAGGATTTGTTTGGTTTCATTTGATCATTTGTGAATGCAAAGGAGTAATCCTGAAAATATTTGTCCAGTTCCACATTTGTCCGGCCTAATGGTCAACTAATTACAATAAATATATGTTCTTTGACTTTGTATGTTTCCATGGTGTGGTGATCATTCGGTAAATAAGTTTTCTGAAAAAAACCACATTTTTATTCATGGAGAACTTTGGATCTGTGCACCCAGATCCCTTCACCAGTGCAGGTAATGTTGACAGTTCGTTCAATTCTGTTTTATATTTGCACTTATGTAGATCCACTGGCACACAGATCGAAAGCTCTGCAGGAATAGAATATATGGTGTTGTCCACAAAACAAAACTTTACTCATAGTATATACATGTTGACTGTTTTTAAGTTAACCGCTGCACTGGTGGCAGTTCCACAGGATCCCGATGAAACTTTTCCCTTGCCGTGAGCTGTCCCCTTTGCGGCAAGGATGCCCTGTTCGCTACGAACACCCCTGGGTCACCTCGTCGTGACAGGTTTACATCGTCTAGTCTCTCTTTGCCAGTTCCATTAGATGGCTGATTAAATGAGGGCAATTCGAAATCTGTGTACCGTTCCTTGGTTCCAGACCAATAGAAGAATTTTAAATCCTGGTCAATTCGCTTTGTGAATTCATTAAAAATCTTCCTTTTGGCATCAATGAATTGCTTCATGTCGAGTATATCACCAAGCATCTCGTGCATGAGAGCAATAATTCCTTCAACATCATCTGACCCTGATGCCCGAGGGTGCTCTGGGGGAAGACCTCGATCCTCATACTCTACACGCCACTGCTCTCTACTCTCCAGATTGGCTACAAGGCCAATTATAATCTCTTGAGTCAGACCACATATGCCTTTAATTCTTCTAGTTATAAGTATTAAACAGCATATTACGCAGTGAATCTTTTTTCTCTAAAACAAAAAATTAGCCTTTCTCACGAAGACGAATATCCGCCATTTTTGGTGGCATCTAATTCTCGTTAACCAATGCAGACAATCAAAACAATGTGAAAAGCACTTTTTCAAAATAAACTAACTATTTACAAAGCAAATCTACCATCATTCGTCAAAAAAATTATAAGAAGTCACTGTTATGTCCACGTATCTTACTGACTTTGGCTGAAATGCCACCCAAAAATGACGGCGTGAGAAAGGCTAATTGATTATAGACCATGAAAATCTTATGTATATATACATATATATATATATATATATATATATATATATATATATATATATATATATATATATATATATATATATATATATATATATATATATATATAATTACCTATTGACATAAATGGTGGTATAATAGCCAGTCCTTCATCTCCTTACAATAGGCAGACCTCTGCATTCCTGATAACCCCCGTCCATCCACTGCTTTCTGCCAGTTGTGTAGACGCTTTATGATGCATGCATCAGTCGTGTGACCTTTCCGTTCCGGAAAAGAAATAACACCAGGACTTATGAGACGCTCACAATCTGGCACAGACTGCTTGTTCTTTCCTATTAGTGCCTCGTATGTCAAACCGGTTGAAGGATCATGCAGGGCATCTCTGAGGTGTCGTAGGTCTAAGCCTGGGATGTGCCCTTCTCGATGCCTTAAAACTATGCGCTTCAGCAGATGGTTGTGATCCTTACGATGATGTACTCTCTCGCCATTTGCATCTTTCTCTGGCTGGTATAGGTGGTCAGCAAAATTAGCAGGATCACTGGCATGATTCTTGAGATCATCAATACTTTTCCGATAGATTAAAATAGCCATAATAGATTTCATGATCTCTCCAGTTGTTTCAGGTCTTCCTATCAAAATACGACAACACATGTTGGTTCAGTGGCAGGTAAAATTGGCTGGCATTAGACAGAATAAAATACCTAGTCTGCATTGGTTCAATTCCCACCGGAGGACCTAAGTTGCATTTCTTGCAATGTTTCCGGTTAGGTCTGCGGTATAACAATTGCTTATGATAACATCACCCGCGACAAATACCAACCACCTCAGAAAACTAATTACAGTGTGTATAAAACGGTAACTGTACCTTGCACCCAAGGCTGTGGATCATGCATAAATGGGAATAATTTCCTTCGTAACATGCAATCAGCATTTTCAAATAACTCTGGATCTTCTTCACGTTCAGATATGAATTCATTCAGCCATAGGACCTCTGACAGGGTAACAGCTGCATGTGAACAAATTGGATTACCTATTAAAAAAATAAATAGCTACAGCTGTTTTCGACTGGAAATATAAACAGAAACTCTACTCTACTCTGCTCTACTCTACTCTACTCTACTCTACTCTACTCTGCTCTACTCTACTCTACTCTACTCTACTCTACTCTACTCTACTCTACTCTACTCTACTCTACTCTACTCTACTCTACTCTACTCTACTCTACTC